TCGACCAGCAGCAGAGGTCATTGTACCTCTACAATGCGTAAATAAGAAGCTTCAACCATATGCCGACCTGACTCACAGATGTGCTAGATTTCCTCCAAGTATGACAGGGGTATTTGAAGCCAGCTGGATAGCCTGGTTAACTCTGAGGAAGAGTGTCTTGCGGTTGTGGAGCTCAGCGCGCATCTTTTCCAACTTCGCCGTCCAAGCTTCATCGGGGAAACCTCTCGTTTGCGCGAGTACGTTTTGGATGCTTTGCTCAAAGCTGGTTATGGCTGATTGCAAATACTCCCTCCTTTGCATCAGCTCTGCGAGGGTAGGTACCTTCGAGGTTTGCGCCGCCCTCATGTTCGGATGACCCATTTGGGCCCCGAGAGGTTGTGCCGCCAGATGGGGAGAACTATGCATTGCATCAACATTAGTCATGTTGGAAGGTGAAAACATGTCCGAAGAATTTGGCGGACTAGAGCCTGGCTGTGTGCCCATCTGTTGCTGTATATGATGTGGCATTGCGGACTGAGGCGGATGCTGGTTTTGTTGATTGGAAGGACGATCCATGAGGTGCAGCGGACGGCTAGCCAGAGCCTGGATCGGATTGCCCGGTTTCATTTGTGGGGTATTCATAGACATAGAGGAGAAGTTGGATGGTATGATAGAAGAGGGAGTGTTGGAGGACTGAGGGTCATGAAAGGATGAGGCAGAGGAAGGGACACGCTGGGCGGATGCAAGACCGAATTGCTGCTGAATTTGTTGGACCAAGGGACCTTGTGAGTGAACATGACCGAGCCCCTGGTTTCGAGCGAGATCTGCCATCTAATATATGGAGTCAGCACACGTAATTACGGAAACTGGACCTGAACAAGGCATCGACTTGACTGCACTCGGGAAGCATGAATCTCAGAATAGTATAATTTATGATAACAGATACGGTGATCGATTAGACGAGAACAGTGCCCAAATCGACCATCAGTAACATGAGTAGGGGCGGGTCCTGTGAGCGAATGCAAATGTCGCAGAAGGGAGAACATAACTTTAGAAGATTGTAGGAGAAACTCACTTGTGAGTTCATCTGAGCGGAATTTGCATCACCATTGGGCTGAGCTCGATAGTTGTTCTGCATTTGAGTCCATATACGACTATGTTCGGGGTTAGGGAGCCCGGGGACCATCTGAGAGTCTGGTTGTTGTTGCTGCTGCTGCTGCTGTTGAGACTGCTGTTGCATATGCTGCTGGGGGATGAAGTTTTGTAGGGAATTCATTTGATACGGGGGCATGCGATCGGCCATAATGCAAGCTTGTAGCCTAGCACCAAGATGGGTAATGCAAGTTAATGAGCTCTACGACGGTAACAGCGAACACGACGTGTTCTGTAACGTCGTTGGCGGTGGCGCCTACGACGAGGGCACTGTTTAACGCAGTGAACGCTGTTTGGGATAGCGTGCAGCTGGGGAGATGCTGACAGTCACAGTGGGAAGCAGACGGCGCTTCACACCATGAAGCGAATGCTCGGTTGGCCTGTGCTCAGCTCGTGGCCGTCGGACTTTCAATCTTTATTATTTTTTATCATTCAAATTGGTATTTTCAATTGCCACATTCTCTAAAAATATTCATTTCCTAGCTTATTTCCTCCAGTCCTTCTCCGCTTCCCATCCGCGAAATCCCTCCCGGAAGTGCTGCTAGCGATGGGCGAAATTATTTCGATGATTAATTTCATTAATTCAGTATTTAATTCCACTCCGCGAGAACTAGCTTCAATCGGCTTTTGCCGTGCCTCAGGTATGCCTCATAGTACTGTTATCTCCTACTCGCCGAGGCCCTGTCGCAACCCACGCCGTCGAGCTCGAGCCTTGCCTCCAACTCAATGTGTGTGGAGAAAATGCACATAATAAAACCTCAAGGCAGTTAAGGCGACCTTATACATACTTCGGAAACTTGCACAATTCGATTTCCTTGTACCACATTTAGTCAATTCTGTAAAATCAGGAACGGAAATGCTTAACCCTGTATATACTAATTAATCATCATAGCTGTTAACATCTCCTTTCCACGCACGAATTGTTGTCGAGAGCAGTCAGTCATCGTGCCTCCACAAAACAAGATGCTTCGGTTTGGGAATCGCTTCAAAATTGGATATTGAGCTACGTCTGCTGAAATGGAATATGTACTGTTAGTCTTGCGTTAGACTCTTGTTTTCGATCGGATTGGCAGGCCTAACAGTTGGCACCGTGCCATCGAGCCGCCAGCCCAGGCTATACACCGCAACGTCTCGAGCTTGACCATATCGGTGCATAAGCCGATGACTATGGAGAACACTCCCGGCGTTTACTCTAGATGCCTGGACAATCGTCAAGCTCCGAAATAACCTAACAGTTATTTCAGTGCCTGCAATGAGGCTTTCAGCCTGGCGCCCGACGTTTTGCCGCACGAGTGCAATTGGGGGTTATCCCGTGGAAAAGGAGTCCCGATGCCGACTACGGTATATTTGCGTCTAAAACTGGACGCGAAGATGTGGTCACGTCCGTGATAATCTTTACTTCAGGGTTTTCGTAGCATTGTCTCTAGCTAACAGAGAATGAAGGGGTGAGAAGTTTATGTTCCTGTCATGCCGTCTCAGGGAAACAACACAGGGGCATGACTTACAACACCCAACAGCGGTTTAAATCGCCTAAATCATTGAAGTTCGCGATCTGCAGGGGGGCGTCCAAGGGGCGTCACCCTGTTGGTCGTGTTCTAACCAGCGCCACAGGATGAACTTTAACTGTATGTTACTACGTACACATGAATCAATAAAGTTTTGGTGCGGGTCAATCATCTGTATGTAAATCTGACATCACGATCTTCATGATTCCACTATTCTTGCGAAAAATAGCATATATCAGGGTCAAGACATGCCTTGTCAGGCAATGTGGGGACATAGGCAGCAAGCTTTGCAAGCTTGCAGTCCGCGGGCCCCTGATGCCACGTCTATGCAATGCCGCGATCGAGCAAGTTCCTTCCGCTGGTCGAATCGTGATTGACCATTTTGGACGGTATCTGTCGACACCGTATACCATCTCAGGCCATATTCGATCCCTCGGGACGCGCAACAAGCACCTGAATTGTAGCATCCATTTATGAGGCGATGAGCATGACAATACCAGGTGAGCTCAGTAAAGGTGTACTTATTAAGAAACAACATTGGACGTACCTGCTATAGATCAGAGCATTGTCAGACATCATAGTGGCAATCCCTTCAAATATTGGTATTCAGACCGCGCGTCACAGGAATTTAACCGGTACCATGATGCAAACTCAAATATTTGAGGGAACTGTACTTAGTAGCCGCCTTCACATCGGAGCTCGTATGGGGAGTAACCATGGTGATATGCGATACAGTGGTTGCCTGCAGGCGGCTATGTGATGACAATGTTGAAACGCTTTAAAGTATTGGGCCTCGCATGAGATCTAGACGCAGTAATTCGGCTGGTAAGCAGATTATGGCACATGTACATGTATACATATTACTTGTACGATCCAGATACAGTCTAAATATAGAACTACCAATGTGATTAGCAGATGACACAGGGAGAAAACGGTAGGAATACAAACACACAGCGAAACTGCGCATCATCATGTTATAGGAAGTCAATACGTCTACTGCTACCACCTTGTTGTGCGGGCTCCTCGGATGCTTTGATAACAATGGCTGGGCCTGCTTCTAGAATGACATCGTCTTCGTCTTCAGAGTACACATCGGTCTCTTCGTCGGAAAGCTCAACCAATGGTGCTACCCTCGGTTTCTTAACTAGAGTTCTTGGACCAGCGGCCAGGATGTGATCCCCGCTCTCTTCAGAAAACTCTTCTTCCAACTCTCCTTGCTCCACGTCGGCCACGGAAGCAATCTCGCGCTTGAAATAGTAGCGTAAACCCACCGGTATGAGGACGCCTACTACCACCGCGGATAACAGGAAGAAGTTGCGCAACGAAATGAGATGGAAATCCGCAGCAGATGTCATCTCGTCTAAACCGCCTCCAATCGTCGTGTGTATGACAGTTACGCCAAAGATACCCAGCCATGTACTGATCCAGAAGGGCACGACGCCAATGCCAACGTGGGGACAGATTACGTTGACAACCCAGTGCGGAGGGAGGGGAGCAATGCGGAGGACAATTAAAAAGGATAAGGTGTTGTCTTTCTGTGCGCGAATCTTGTCCGACCACTTGTCCAGGCGAGCTTTCCACTTTGGTACGGTGAGAAGCGCAGGGCCAAATGCAGCGCTGATGAAGTAGCACAAAGTTGCACCAGTAGCAACACATGTACAAGCAAGTGGAAGCGCGCGCGGCACACCCCATACCGCTCCACCAAGTATAGATAGATACATCGACCCCGGGAGAGAAAACGCTTGTAGGCTAAGGGAATGTCAGGTTGTCTACTTCATAGAGAGAGCAGACCTCACAATAAATATGTTATAGCATAACATATCACGATGCGGAACGGGTAAATGTCACGGTATTTTTTCAATATGACATTGAGAGCCTGTAGTTCAGCAAATGATTTCGGTATACGGAGTGACGGCCGGTCGGCTCTGCTATTCGATAAGATATGCTAAACAAGAAGGAAGTTCGAGGGACATACTCGTCAAGGGTGGGAAGAGTCAGCCACAGAGTTCCACCCAGGAGGATCGTACTGAGTATAAACACAGCTGCCATCCTAATGGCTGCCTTGAGTAATAATCTTGGGGAGGATGTGTGGGGTGCCTGCGAATGTGTAGGAGTGGCTCCATAAATCAAGCCAGCCTCAGAATCTGGTGCAAGGAGGGGAGCTCTATCGTCTGCAAACTCCACAATTTCAGGGTTATCTGAATGGACGGTAGAGAGAGTGTAAGCTGATGCATTTTGGTGGTGCATGACTCCGAGCGATGAAGGTGAGGGCATGGTTCCCCGACGATGAGAACGTACCACAAACTATATGAAATTATATAAATTATATTAGATATATGTCATACATAACTTAGCTAAGTACGTGGGAATATTATGGCATTTTCCACAAAGCACGGAGGATGATTAGCCAAGTACTTAGCGCGCTGAGCTCGTGCTGAACAACGAACGACAGGTGTCCACAGGCCCTGCTCATCGTCCAGCACAGCGAGCAAGATGACCCACATCCTGCCTCCGCACACTGACCTCAATCTTGTACCATCGTCTCTTCATTCAGCCCTTCATATGGACCCAAATCAACAGCAACAGCAACTTCAACAGCCTAATCAGCCTCATCAACAACAGGCGCCGACAACCTCCAAGAAGAGAGGACGGAAGGCGGACACAAATTCTGATGACGCTGGCTCACCGTCCGAACCAAGACGGCTCAGACGCTCCCATGAGGCTTGCGCACGATGCAGGAGCAAGAAAATTAAGGCAAGTCCCGTCGGTAGACACCGACCGCAAATCTCCGTCCGTCAGTTCAGCTTCTCTTCTGACACAGCGATGAATTATACAGTGCGACTCGAAACATCCTAAATGTACAGCGTGCGCGACGGCTGGTGTCCCTTGCCAGCAGGAGGACAGACATAGGCAGACCCTCACTCTTAGAGGTCACACCGAATTCATCGAGCGCCAGATCGCTCAATGCGATGCTCTCTTGAAACGTCATATCTCTGATTTCAGTATGGCCAACCTCGACGAGATATGTCGGAGGGAGGGCATTGAGGTCGACGGTCATCCCGCCCCTGAATTCGCTCAATCGAGCCCACAATTCCCACAGCAACCAAATGGCCCTCCTCCCGGGGCGATTTATGGGCCTCCTTTCGTTCACCCCGCATACCCTTACGGTGTACCTATGCCGCATGGGTACCCATCACATATGCCGATGCCAGGACCCCCTGGCGCTTACGGACCCATTCATCCTGGGTTCCCCCCTCCCCCTCCACAGCATATGCAGGCCCCGCCCCAGGTTCAACCACAGCCTCAACCACAGCCACAGCAGCCACAACAACCACATCCAGTCCCGCCTCCAGTTATAGCTGCTACGGCCAATGTTGAAGTCAAAGGTCAAGATCCGCAATCTTTGGATATGTCAACTACGAGGGTCGGTCTTTTTTGTGTGACGTTCGTGCCCTCATTGTTCATCTTCACTGATAGGCACTGGCCAAGAGCTTTGGTGTTCACCCCCTCATCGTAAACGACAGTCACCTGGGTTCAGGTGACAAGGAAGATCTTGCAGTTGGCTCAAATGGCTTATCATCGGGGCGTGATCGTGGCATCACGGAACAATCGATACCCCGCGATCTTACAAAATGGATTTCTATTTCTGTAGCAACCAGCAATACTGGTGGCTCTTCTACAATATCCACCTCCGCACTAACAATGCTATGGATGCCCAAGGATCGCTCGTTGGCGAACAGGATCGTTGATGTTTACTTCAACCACCTCAACGTCCACCGCCCTGTCTTCTTCCGATCAGACTTTGAGCACAAGTTAAATGCGCTTTACGACGGGGAAAATGTACAACATGATCCAGGCTTTATTTGCAGCATGTACCTCATTCTGGCACTTGGGACATTGAGCGAGTTAAATCACCAAGGGAGTATCATTGATAAGGACAAAAAGACGCCCAGCGATAGTCCAATCAATACCAAGAAGCTGCTCCCTGCTATATGGCCTGAGCACGATGAATTTTTCGAGCGTGCGCTGGCCGTCAAGCCTCACCTACGTGTCACGATCTCCAGTCTTCAAGCACTGCTCTTGTTGCATTGGTATCTGTACACCGAGGTATGTCCATTCTGACTTTCCACGACGGGTTTTATGTCTTAATACTGCCATCGATTATCAGCGACAAGGCCGCTCCCTTTGGCGCTTGGTTGGAAGTCTTGTTCGTCTTTCAATCGAACTTGGTCTGCACCATGATCCCACGGCGCAGCCCAACACCTTCACAGATGAGGAGTGTCAGCTACGCATTCGGCTTTGGGGCACTGTCATGGTGCACGACCGAGGCACTTCCATTCTTCTCGGACGTCCACTTGCCATTGCTCCCTATGACTCCAACACGCCTCGCCCCACACACGGACTCAAGGGCCAGAATGCTGATTTCTCTGAACACTTCCTTCTTTCCCACCCTATCGCAGAAATACAGGCGGACATCATCAACTCTCTATATGCTCCCTCACGGCAGAGTGCTGATACTATCATGAGGCACGCAACGAGGATCATCAAAAGCATGCTTGAGTTCAGGAGACAGCTCCCCGATAGCTACAAGTGGTACTTTGGAGGAACTGAAGACTGGCCTTTGGAGAGGCGACAGAAGCTGGTCCAGGGCATTACAGAAGATCAGGGACTGACGTTGCTCAAATTTGGTATCGCGAGGATCCTACTTCTTCGTGCCCTGTTCAGTCTTAAGGAACTCGACTACAACCACCGTTCGAAGGCACTCGTCGATGGTACGTTCTCATCATGTGCCATTTGCCATTTTTTGATGATTCATTTACCATTTAAGCTATTGTCACGTCACACAACATTATTATTGTCCACAATCAGCTCATTCGTTTCCCCGACATCGCCTTTTTTGTTTCTCCCGACCCTCTTCATATCGCGGCAATGGTCATCCTCTACGGTCACATGTCTCACTGTGAGCGCCTCTCACGCCAAGTGATGATCGAAGACGTTTGGATGGCACTTGACATGCTTCCACGCTTCCGTTGGCGTTGGGAACGAAAGGACTTGAATGGCGGGCACCCTCTTATCTCCAAGCTCGCTGAGAAAGTTCTTAACGTCAACCTCCGCACAGTTGGACCTACCAAAGACCCTGTCTTACTTTCTGAGCTTGATTGGGAGGCAGATTCACCTGGGATGCTGTCGTCGCCAGCGTTGAGTGGTCAACAGCAATTGCGCGTGCATCCGGGGACTCCCACGATGTCACACCCATCCTATTCAATGGCGGTGTCGAGCCTGGTGTTTACGGTCCGCTTCCGCGTGGTGTCACTGTAAGCACGAACCCTGTTAAAGGGCTTCAAGGATCTGTGGGTAATGGTACTACGCAGGACAAACTCGCAGAGGTGCCCGCTGGGCTATTCTACCCTTTCTATCAGAATCCGATGAGTGCTACCCCCCGGTACCGTTTCTGGCCCTCATAGTGACGCCGGAGTTACCGGTGGAGACTCCGGTCAGGACCCACAGGGTTATGGTCACCTGCTGGCGGCCGCAGCGCAGCCAAATGGGACATACGGGTGCCAGCCATCGTCGGATTCATACATGCTTGAAGAGATTGTACCCACTCATGGCAATCAGGTGTGGATGAATGTTGTCAGTCGTTGATGCTGTCTTTTCACTGGCTGTTACTGAATCATCCATTACAGAGCCAGAGGTCTATGTCGTTCGCGCATCAAGCTTAATCATCTTATCCATGTATTGTAGTTCGTTCTCTTCCCCGTTTCTCAGCTTTCACGCTGAAGACAGTTCTTATGAGGCTCTCTTTTTGTATTCCTTTTTATGAACCTAAAATGGTTCTTTGTTTCAAATTTTACATTTTGATTCAGGCCTTTCCTCAATTTTGTCTTCGTTGTTGTTCTGTCCCTTTCGTCTTAGTCAAGTCCGAAATCCACGTATTTTATCCTCATGCCTGAACAGTAATATGTGAGAGTGTACGATTATGCGATGTAGGATGATTGATTTGATCATATTAATGGCGTGTGGTATGAATACATGCATGAGGGGGAACATCAGGAGTATTGTCTATAAGAGTGGTCTATGCGCATATTAGCAGGAAGGGATGGTCATCTCCAGAATACAATGTGAAAAACAAAATGAAACGCGCATATATAACTGTCAGTAAAAATAGTGTTTGAAGAATGCAAAGTCTATCCAAGAATCCGTTCCATACGGTCCAGAACTACGTCGATGCCCCTGATGAGAAGAACGACATGCCGGGGAAGCAGGGCGAATTTATTTGGGTCCTTGTCGCGGTCGTGGTGCGTAGGATGAGCAGAAGTGGGATTGGTGTATTGAGCTTGCATGGCATTTTCGAGAGTGACAGGTAGGGAGATGGTGATGCGTGTTAGTTGGATAGTGAGCCGTGATCTGCCAGCGATATCAAAGTAAGGAAGTTGGCGGAAGGCGCTTTGTATCTCGAGGGCGCGACAGAGTTCGCCATGGAGGGCAACGGCGCAGGCGCGACAGGCTATTTTGTGAGGATGTGAGATCAATTATACATTGTATGACAAGTGATTTACTTAAGACGCGTTCGCGGACACTCAGGAGGACCGAAAGAAGAGAGTTTACGCCGTCGTCACCCAATTCAAGTGATGGGTTTAGGTCACCGATAGCCCCTGAAGGCAGAGACATGAGTATGTGATACACGTAAGCAGATATGTGCTTACTGAGCAATGTGCGTATCATCTCGAAATCACCTTCGAGAAATTCACTGAAGACACTCAAGAGGACACCTTTCAATGTTTCGTCCGCATGGGGCGAGGACTGGGAAAAGAAGTCATATTTGGGGTGTGAGTGTGCAGGACGGGAGTCGTAAGTGCGTTTCGAGGACGGATTACTGAGGACATCGTATGCAACGGAGACTTTTTGGAAGGCAGACGTCGCATCGGGATTTCCGGGAAATTTGCTGAGTGCAAAGTGAAAATGAGATATCACTAAAAGTGACGAGGAACATACTCTGGATGACAAGCCCTACTCCGAGAAAGATAGGCGCGTCTTATAGTCACCCTGTCGACTGTTGGGGACCTAGGGACACCTAGAATACAATACAGGTCGTCACTGGAGAGGACTTGGAGCATTTCTGGGGTGTAAAATTTATCATCACTCGGTGAAGATTCTAAAGTGTTGCAAGATTTTTGTTCTTCTGCTGATGGATAGGGTTGTGGTGACCACGTAATATGTTTTGGATGGATGGGCACATTATCTGTTGCATTGTCCTTGGCCCGGAGATGAAACAAGGAGGATGCTACGGTTGCGCTGTCAGTATTGCTTGTCCTAGCGTAACTCTGACTGACTGACTGACCCGTCGAAAAGACATAGGAGAACATCATCGCTCACGAACATGCATTGTCCTGGCCAAAACATGTGTGGTGCAGTGAGAAACTGAGAAAACGTTCTCCAATCTTATCTCTTCTCGTCGGCGGTAGTCAAATTTCAATTACACGTGCGGTAAACCATACGTAATCTAATCTACATCACTTGAACTTGGAGATCGGCACAAAACTTCTTGACCGCTACTGGAATCGGTTTGCGATTCAACTCGTATTTATCTCCCATGATGGTGAGCCTTATGGACGCATCTTGCATAAAAGATGTATCTCCTTTCGACAGTGTGAGGTCGTACCGACCAAACGCCCAGTTCAAGATCCAAATCGCAGAATCTAAGCGAACAAATCCCTTGACTCGCCAAACGCTCTCCTTATTTAGAGAGGCGAGAGCACTCTCGAGTATACCCTTATCCAGCATCCACCTCAGCATGCGAGGCGCATGATTCTCTATCGTGATGTTCATGGCTGTGGCACGTCGGCAGGAATCCTCGGTATGCCGTGAGTGTCTTTACTTCATCATGATGATCTTCGATACCCTGAGGAATTGGATCTCTGAAAAGCTTGGAGTCGATACCAAAAAGAACGTTTGAGGTCCACGCCGTTACGACCATTGCACTTGATCTTGGGAGTGTCGAGATTTAGGGTATTAAGATTATCGATCAGTATGTCTAGGGCGCGATCATCGACGTGCTCGTGCTTGTTCTAGGCACTTGAATAAGATCGATTTATTGTCATGAGAGAAAGATACGTACGATAAGAATGATATCCGAGTAGCTTGCCTGCATCTTGGCTGTGGGAGACGTATCCTCGTACCCCGTGAAGTTCTCGGCATCAATGACGGTAACTATCGCATCAAGTCGAAGGTCATTGTTTGTCTGTCGCTCAAGCTCACGGATCTGGAACGCCAGTGTGGCGGGAAAAGCAGATCCCCTGACTCCATGACGAGTGAGTACCAAGCTAAAGGATTTGAATGAACTTACGAGCATTCAATGATTATTCGGTCAGGGCGGTATCTGTCTGATAGATATAAGTGCTGTGAGATCAAGTTATGTGAAATGCAAGTACCTCGGATCTCGAGAAGGGCTGTTTCCATCTGGCCGACGAGTACGCAGCACCTATGCATGATATGGTCGGTTAGGAAATGCAGCAAGATGATGGTGAATTGTAGACATACATGCAGCCGTTCAAAATCTCACTGACGGCAGTCAAACTGGATTGTTTAGCCAGCTGGCTATCCACTGTGAAAGGTATTATATATTTCCTCCAAAGCCCCAATGATCGCAGCAAATTATGCACACCTTGGACGTCTCCGAACTCATTCTTAAGCAAAACCACTTTATAGTCCTTTGGAAGTAGCGGAAGGAGTGACAAAATGATGGAGGTCTTTCCTGCGCCGAGAAATCCAGTGAAGATAGTGATCGGTATATGGGGTGGTTGCCTTGAATCCATGTCTATATGTCCGTGGAATCGATCCGACAGTATGTGTGTTTATTGGCCGACATATTATTGTAGTCACGTGGTTGACTGAATGTCGGTAAGTACGCGCCGCGCACGCGGCGCAATACGTTTCATTCTACTACAGGCAGGCTACGACGTTGAACTCGTACCGGCCATGGCGGGTCGCAAGCAGTCACCTACTAGCACACCTGGTATGAGAGCTCAACAACTTGTTATCAATGCATCCCATGTCGCTGTGACACATACATACCTCGCGCTCGCCGCGTTCGGTCTTGCCTTGTTTTTCGGCTGCGCGCTGCATTACAAAAAAATCGTGAAGAACGGGGTTGCCGGATACCCTGACGAGTGGTTTCCATCAGTCTCAGCCACGTATGTACATTCAAGTTCTGTTTGCTCGAATGTTGAACCCGATGTGCTTGTACCACAGTATCGGTGACTGGTACCCGGAGCGTAATATTTTTCAGATTCTCATCGCCTTGACGTCTGGTCAGTTAGATGCCTTTGCTTCCGCGACGTGTTTATAATGGTCACACACAGGTCCACGTTTCGCCCTTGTATATTTGCAGTATTTTATCAGGCGCTCTCCAAGCACCCGTTGGCCGGGTTTCTTGTTTGCTGTGGGTATCATTCGGACATTGATGTGCGGTGGTTGGGTGTATATCACGTCAAACGATGACCATGACGTGCATGATATTCTCATGATTACATATATTTTGTGCAACGTGCCATGGATGTGGGGAGGCGTCCTATGTACTCCAATTGGGCACGTAAAAGCACGTCGGCGACGGTGAGGATTATCTTAGGAAATATGCATCCATCCGCTGACCGATAGTCTATAGCCGATATCTTGCGACAGGGTTAGTGAGAATATTGCTCCTAGCATGCATGCAGCTTATTTCCTGGGAATAGGTTCTTCGTATCTGTCATACCCATGATATATTTCTTCGTTCAGCACAAGATATACCGGATTCCTGGAGGTTGTAGTTGATTCTCTCAGCGCAACTGGGGCTGACAATCACGACCAATCTAGCATATACCCGCTATTCATTTTTCGAGTGGTCCCTGATCTTGCTCGATGTTCTGTTTGACTCGATCACAGAGCTTGACTTCAAAACCTCTAATTTACAGGTACGTATGAGCAGGCATATCCCAGATGCTTGGTATTGATGTTTCATTATCCCCCAGATTGTACTCAGTGTTTCGTCGGACGCCAAAGTCGGGCGTGATGATATGTATAATCAAGTACACCACCTTGTATAACCATCGTCTGACGTACTACATAGATCGTCTTCTGCGCCATCCAAAGGGTCAGATAGTGTGACTGAAACCAAATTAGAAGGGTCAGCCGCGTCATCAGAGACTGAGCAAACGGCCAGCAATGTATCAGGAACTGTGCCTCGGACATGTTTCCAGAAAACGCAGGCTGCACTTACGCTCTCTCGAGATGCGCGAGCAGCCGTAGGTTTTATCTCAGATGTGTACTTGTGTGCGTGTCGTAGTTCAACAAATTACAGAGTCATATCAGATTTACCACCTTTGCAGCTTACTTGTTTTGGTCCATCTTCACTTCCCTCATCACCACACTGTTCTATTTCTCTGTTTGGCAACTTGCGCTTTCAGGTTCGGAGTTATCTTTGCTCTGTCTGCTCTCCCCTGCGTTTTTGGGCATCAGGCCCTTGCGCACTTGGGCGCTTACGCGCAGTGGTCGGGTCACGTTAAAGGCGGTGGCAATCCTGGCAGGCTTGGGGTCTTATGCCTTGAACAGCCCCATGCGAAGATTGTTTGTGGTCAACTTTGCGAATATGGTGCTCCTGATAGGGCAGACTGTGGACTGGTCAGCTGGGAAGGATGGGTATCAGGGTTTGCGTGAGTATCAATCGCGTGGTGTAATAGTAGTGACGACTAACATGGCATAGTCCTTGGTCTAGGACTTGTATTGCTTTCTCTAGCGAAGCACGCGAATCATTCAACAAATCCTGGTACGTTATTTCAGACTTGACATACTTTCAACTCCTCTAACCACTTCGAAGTATGGCCGATGCTCAATGAGCAGTCTGGAGGATACAATAAAACAGGCCTTTTTCTAGCACTTTGCGCGCTATATGAGCTTGCAACCCGCCCATCCGCCGTTCCAGAGGAAGAAAAGCAAATCAGCGGTTCGAAAGATAACAGCAAGGTTACCTCACACGGATGGCTTGCAGGCTCCATTGCGCTCGGCAGCATGATCTTCACTCTCCATTGCTTCTTCATAGACCCCAGTACTATCATTGCGTGGTCTTGGACAGGATACAAAAACAGCCAACCCAAAGGCCCTCTACCACATCTCCACGGCTCTCTCACTTTGATTGCGCAGGCTATAGGCCTCGCAACGCCTATGATTCTCCCTGCATACTGGTTTACCAGTCCATTATGGTTCAGCTATGGTTGCGCAAGCGCATTCGTGATGTACTGCTTCAGGGACTGGACGGGCTTCGTTGGCGGGCTTAATTTAGCGGTGTTTGTTATGTCATTGCTCCCTACTATCATTCAACAATCTGCCCAGCCGACCAAGGCTGGGAGGACATATTTCACAGCATTCTTCGTTACGATTCTGTTCTACCTTGCCGATGTGTGGACAGTCGCCTACGCGTTCGTACCAGGGGGTGCGTACTTGCGCGAGCGCTCGGACTTGTAAGTTCTCTGCCAAAAATTTTGTCTTTGTCGCTGAAATACTTCATCATAAGGGTCCTCATCGCGCAATTCGTCGCAATGTCGCTGGTGTTTGAATGGCCATCAGGAAAAAGGACTGCAGCTAATACCATAGTTCACATGCCAAGCTCAGCGAGCTTCCTTGCTCGTCATCTCCTTACACTTTTCTCATTGTCCGCTGTCCTTGTAACAATATACCGCTGGACTCCTATTGGACCGAGACCTTATAAATCGGGCACGGGGATAATCAACGCTGGAATATGGACAGTACATTTCGGCATCGACAATGTCGGGCACGACAGCCAGAGGTTGATCCGAGATGTCATAAGGTAAGGCATTTTAATGAAGGTTGTTTGCTGCTGACACTGCTATCAAGAGACATGGAACTTGACGTAGTTGGCCTTCTGGAGACTGATCTGCACGTGAGTTACAGTGCCAATCAATGAGCTGCTGGTGTGCTAACTAGTCGTAGCGGACTGTGTATGGAAATCGTGACTTGTGAGTGTGTTGTGTCCCCTGGACGACCTCTTGGCTCATCTCATATCAGGACGCGAGTCGCTCTCCAAGACCTCGGATACGTGAGTTTTCCTTCAATGCAGCCATACAGGGAAATGACCACACCAAACTTGAGTATGTCGATTTGGGCCCAGGACCCAACATGCATACGTGGGGTGCTGCTCTACTTTCGAAGGTCAGTGTGTAACGACTCCTTTCAAATCGTGCTTACACTCCTTAGTTCCCTATTGTTCACTCTCAGCACCACCTCCTACCCTCACCCCATGGCGAGCTCGCGCCAGCAATCGAAGCTGTGCTTGATGTGTATGGGACAGAGGTAACTGTAGTTGTGTCACATAACGGGCAAGGTACATTCGGCACAATTTCTTTTTTAGTCAATCGTTCTTGCTTATAATGTCTTTCATCTAGAGCAAGACCCGCTTGACCGTGAATTGCAGAGCAAGGAGCTCGCACGCATCATGGCAAAGTCGTACCCTCACCCTGTTATCTACCTTGGATACGTAGTCACGAAACCACACGCCAGTAGACGTGTGTGGCTCTTATGTCTTTTGTTTATTTTAATCCTGATGAATCCTACAGCGGCGCCCTACGAGATTTTGGTGCAGGATGGTATTGTGCATGACATCGACCCGCAGGACGGGGATCGCTGGTGGGTGCTGTCTCAATATGCCACCAGCTGATGATGATAAAATGCAGGTGCGAGTACATTTTGTATAGGGGGCTTTACCGGACTGCGTATGCTCGCATCTCGCGAGGCATCGTTACCGATACGGAGCTACAGATCGGACAGTTTGTTGTTCCACGACATGGCTTCCAGCTTGTGAACCAGACACTTGAAGACCGAATGCTAAGGGCATGGAAAGAGGATCTTCCGGAGGATCATGTGCGGCTTGCGTATTATCTCCCGGCTGCTTCGTGTTGCTAACTACGTGACAGTGGTTCCCAATGGAATACTATGGCAACGAGGATGAGGGGGGTATGAACGGGCATTTTTACCACGTGTTTAACACTGTGAGGCTTCAGCCCGTTACAGGCACATCTCACTTACTAATACTCTGATAGCCGCTGTATTATAATTTCCCTGAGAGTGCACAGGTTTAGGGGTGTACCAGTGTAGTCGACACATCTGTATTGTTATTTTGTTGTGTTCTGCTGTGGCTCTTGCACCCTGGACTTGTCTTGAGGTTTAGGAAAAAAGTCAAACCAAAACCTTTGTCATGCCTGATCATTGTTGGAAATTATCTGATTATCTGATAATGGTATTCAAGTGAAACAATTAAGGTTCTGAAATGTGGGTAATTCTATTGAATTCTCTCAGAACTCTATGGAATGTCAGCAGACTGCCAGTAGAGTCTGATATTGAACTTTGGTGTGTGTACCATGACTGCTATATACCTAGGGCTGGCCACCATAGGCTGTATTACAGGAATATATGGTGGTGTAATACCGTAATATGGGAGGCATACCTGTACTGTTGGGGCTTTAGAGCTATCATTAACGGTTACAGTGTACAGTCATTTGAGTACTGTATGACACTGTAAATTTATGGTCATATATACCCATCATATGGGACACTGTACGGTTCTCCTTCTTTTGATGTTGATGATGGTGACCAAATTTGAGCACACCCGATGATCCACTGTATTCTGCTGCACTTTTGCACCCTGTACACCCTCAGAGAAGGATCAATGTTGACAAAACTACTATCAAAGTACCAACACTCTTCCAAGTTCCTCTTCTGAGTCCTCGTCAACTATGTCAGTGTCCCTTGCACCTCATCTAACACTCACTCAATGAAGAGAATCACTCTCACAAGTAGTGTTGCCACAAGTTTGGCTAGCGCCGGCTAAAGCTGGTTCTGATTCACCAGCTTAACTGGAGCTGCAAAGTCACACTGCTTACATAATCTTGACTTGGCCCGGCTGATGCAACCTGCGGTAAGCAGCTTTAAAATGGCTCAAGCCTGATAATTTTAGTGTGATTTAAATTTAGAAATGAGAATAAACAAATTTAGAATTGTAAGAAGTACACTGCATTGATCAATAATCACCAATCCACATAAACGACTGAAGTCCAAAGATCTAACAAAAATGGGACCACAATTTGCAGTACGCTGTACCTTTGTGACATTTGGATGTGCATTGAGTCCAATCAGGACTGTATCACCATCAATCAAGCCAGAAAGGTGGTAGCGAGGGCAGAGGTGGCAACTGCAGAGATGTCAAGAGTGGTGACAGCAAGAGATTCACAGGCATGAGAGCAGGAAGTGGTTTTTGTGTATGTGTCAGGGTGGCCATCAAAGTTACGGATTGCACTGGCAAAGTTACTGGGATTTAGGCTGCAAGAGAATGGGTGAGTGGATCTGTCTACAGAAGATACTAAAGATGATGTTTAGTAGCAACAATTAGTAGTGCTCATCCAAACACAAGCACCAACACACCGATTCCATCGTCTACATACGCGGTACTGAACACCGTGCCTGCTGCGTTGAGGGACATGAGGAGTGAAAGGTTGGAGTCTTGTAGATTGTGTACCCATTGTCGAGGATATGGACAAAGTCTCCACATGTAAAGAAGGGCTCGTTGAACGAAATTCAAGCACATATTGAAAACAGGTGTCAATGTAAATGTGGCTTTGTTGAGTCTGTCAGAGGATTTGTTTGTACTTGCAGGAGATTGCCATTAGTGACTCCCACCTGCCTGCGCATCTCTCTAGGATTGGGCTCAAACAATGATCCAAGATGAAAACTCATGATGCATCAATGACGCCACCTGCATTGGGCACAACCGGTGCTGCCGTAGCTTTGTCCTCACTGTCTTCCAGCCCCTCCTCCTCCATGTCAGGAATATCATCTAGATCCGGTGTTTCTCCCACCATAGCACCCGACTCCGAAACAATTGACACATCTGCCATCACGCTCGCCAGTCCATCACCATCCAAGTCTGGGATATCATCGATCTCGCCTGGGTTTGCAGCAGAGTCCACTGTGGCATTTTGCCCTGCATGCGTTTCTACCCACTCATCGGCTGTGCCCAAAGAATCTCCGAAGGAGAGAAGTCGCTTGGCATCTTCATCGGCATCTGTGTAAGTGAGTGAAGTTGCTCGTCGAAGGCAGGGGACACCATGAGTAATGAGGTATTGTTTTTCAGCAGGGAGGTAATCATGGGCTTCGGACGCATCTCCTTTTTCCCTGGAGTATGGGGATGGGGTTTGGTGGGCTGTACTAGGATTGAGGAAGTGGTTGCATGCACCATGTCCATACTGGGAACTTGTATGATAGGAAGTCTCCTGCTGTGACGAATTCCTCTGAAAGCGATGTGAAAGAGAAATAGTGACTAGGCTGTTTAGAAACTAGTGCTACTTATCCAAATAGGCATGAGTGTAGTATTCGACCCAAGAGGACTGCTATTGAAGCAACTCCCTACTAATAAGCAAGGGGAGTGATAGTGTGAAGGGCTAAAAACCTATAGCGACCTAAGACTAAAAACTAATGAGTAGTGCTGTAGCGATCAGCTACAAGTGAGTTCTGACAGAGAAACGTGCATATAAGTGAGAGGCACTATGCAAGTTGTTTTATGCAATAGTGCTGTGTGACGTCCGACTAGCGACAGCAAGAAGAAATCAAAGAGAGCGAGAGCAGAAAGTAAGATATGACAGTGCAAGTGAAATGCCTGGTAGCGACTAGATTGTAGCGTGACTACCGATAGCGATCCCGACATTGCGAAGTCAAACTTAAGAGGGAATCCTTAGCAACACGCACTTAAAGCAAGTCAAGCGACACGCGATCAAAGAGATTGGCAAGAGTGGAATCGATTGCACCAAGACTAAGATATAGCGACTAAGGCAACTCCGACACACCAGCAATGGTCCGGGGAAAGGAAGTGATGTACTGTATGTGCAATGGGTCATTTTATGATACTGCGTAAGAGTTTGGAATTGCGTAGGAGAGTATAGTAGTGACACTGGCGAGGGCACAATGTAGCAACAGGTAATAAAACATGCAGGCCGCGGAACATGAGGATACAGGTAATAAGACCTGTGACTGATCAGTAGTGACATGTAAGGACAAATAACGCACCAGTGGAGGTAGGTGGACATAGGCAGGACATGGGAGGACGGAATACCTAGGTGTTGGACCAGGTAGCGCACTATGGGAGAAAAGTGGTTCCAAAGCGGAGAGCTTGGGAGTTGATAGCGCTGGTGACTAGCACTTTACTCTTTTCCTCTAGACAAGGCAAAACATGCCTATGACACTCATACGCGCCTAGCACTGGTATGATTGTCACAGCGAGATCAGGATGGGTATGCTTGTGGTTGGTGAAGATGGAGTATGTACCGGGAGTTATGCGTACATGTTCTTTGAACTTGCTTTCTTTGAGGACCTGGGTATTGCTTAGAATTAGCGATAGACAAGTGCAATGGCACGCACTGGGCTGAGATAGTCGCGAATGGCCCAATATTGTTGCTAGAAATGACCTTGAGCATCTTCGAGCATGATGCACTTTGGTCACCCCATTTCAGGTACCTCTTAGGTTGTATTATACCTATAAGGGTTTTCACCTAGGGGGTGCTTTCCAGGTGGTCTGGCCAATGTTTTCTGGTCTTTTCCCAAGTGCATAGGGTCCAAGATGAAATGTGTTGGGCATGGTCCACGGATCAAAATAATTTTTGTATGGGAAAGACCGCCAGCCAACATTGGACCACACATACATGGGAATTTCCCATGGTGTAGGGGTGTTAGGGGTCCTATTATGACCAAAATTTTGCCCAAAAAAAAAGAAAATTGTAGGTTTTTTCTTGGTCCCCAAGCCAAGCCAGCCAATGTGTCCCATAATGACTACAATGCCTATGAGATATTTTTCCAAAATAGGGTCAGAAAACTGAAAAATGATCATTCATTCACCCCACCCCCAGCCCAGGATCCCTCTCCCCTGAAAATCTTCACTCATTTACCTCACATCTATGCCAGCTGAACCAGGATGCTGCATGGGTTTTATGTGCCATGTTACCAATGTATAGCTGCAAACTGTCACACTCTAAAGGCCAATATAATCATGCTGCAACATGCCCAGAAACCTTTGTTGCCTACTAATACTGCTCATTATGCAGCTCACTTTAGGTGCATTTTTATCAAGTATGTATGTACACTTACCAGTTATATGTTCACACTTGTTTGACCCAAGTAAATGCACTTGAACTGTATCCTCCTAGTTGATCAGCAGCACTTGCACACTCTACTCACACCCCTTGTCCAAGTCATCAATGATGTCTTTATGCCATGATAGCATTCACAGTTGCACTTGTCATCACCCATGCACTGATTCGATGCCAAAGCTGCTTGCACTCCAATTCTGTGACAACATGCAGATAGGCATTAGCACGGGTCATGGGTAAGAGTACTGGTGGGTACGGGTGCGGGTCAGGATTTTGAGACCCATGACCTGTGTACCTGTCACTTCCACATATGGTCATCTGCTGCTCACCACCAAGGCAATGGTGAAGGCTTGGATCAGGCTATCGCCCTTCTCATGGAAGCACTGGCCTTGCACCTGGTCAGTCACACAGATCAGTCCATGTCATTAAATAACCTTGCAGTTCAACTCTCCACCCACTTTGACTACTGAGGCAATGATGAAGATTTAGTTACTATTATTGATCTGTAGTGACTAAATGTTTCCTAGTATAGTTTGAATCTATACCCACATGTTTACTACCATACCCTGCGCAACCTGCCAATACCTGTTGGTACCCTTTGATACACAGGTACGGGTATATGGTATGTATGGGTGTGGGTAGGGCTCTGTACACCTGTATGTTTACTCATGCTAATCCCTACACGCAGATCCCTAAGCTGGATCCAGAATGATGACAATCTTGAACTTGAGGTTGACTATGGACAGCATGCAGATGCCAAAAAAAAACAAAAATATCCATGTACCTCCTTCAGATGACAATTGAATTGATGGATGATGAAAAAGTGTTTGATCATCTGGTTTGATCATCAGCATTTGTCGAGAAGATGAGAGAGAACACTTACCTGCATACCGTGATTACTGCAGAATTCATAGGTGATCTGTTCTTTGATCTAGCCATTGGGGAAACAGTCTGCGAGACCACCAATGAGGCCATATCTTCCATCATTGGCCAAACATTGATGGATGAATTTGAGGATGCTGGGTACATGAGGGAGTAGACCAAGGTAGATTCTTGATCGGGTTGGGCCTGCTCAAAGTTCATGTGCACTTTACACACATGAAAGGGGTGAATTCCAGAGGTTGAATTTGATGATTTTGTTGTAGCATTGCACAAGAGCAGCACACAATAACAGAGTAATGCAAGCACATCAAAGATGAAGTAGTCTCCTGGTCATCTAGTAGCACATCATCATCAGTTTCTTCCATGTCTTAAGGTAGTATGGTGGTAGAATGGCAAAGAACATAACATTAGAAGGAGCGTAATTATGGAAAGAGCCAGATTTCAGATTAGGGTTGACATGGACAAAATGTTTGAAAGAAGCACGGTGGTGGAAGGGGCCAGATCTCCATGGTTGACACACACAATAATGTTGGAAGGAGAATGGTGATGGAAAGGACCAAATTTATTAGGGTTGACAGACACAGGAGGACCGCACTGCATGGGAAAGCCCATAGTCAGACAGGGGAAGGACACAGTGCATAGGAAAGGCCCATAATCGGATATGGGAAGGACCACTGGTGGATGGGAAAGGCCCATAATCAAATATGGGAAAGGCCACAGTGGATGGGAAAGACCCATAATCAAATACTGGAAGGACCACAGTGGATGGGAAAGGCCCATAATCAGATACGGGAAGGACCACGGTTGATGGGAAAGGACCATAATCAGATATGGGAAGGTCCACGGTGGATGGGAAAAGACCATAATCAGATATGGGAAGGACCATGGTGGATGAGAATTGCCCATAATCACATGTGGGAAGGACCATGGTCGATGGGAAAAGACCATAATCAGATATGGGAAGGACCACGGTGGACAGGAAAGCACTATAATCAGATACGGGAAGGACCATGGTCTATGGGAAAAGACCAAAATCAGATATGGGAAGGACCAGTGGATGGGAAAAGACCATAATCAGATCCGGGAAGGACCATGGTGGATGGGAATGACCCATAATCACATGTGGGAAGGACAACGGTCGATTGGAAAAGACCATAATCAGATATGGGAAGGACCACGGTGGACAGGAAAGCACTATAATCAGATACAGGAAGGACCACAGTCAATGGGAAAAGACCAAAATCAGATATGGGAAGGACCACAATTGATAGGAAAGGCCCATAATCAGATTCAGGAAGGACCATGGTGGATGGGAATGGCCCAAAATCACATGTGGGAAGGACCACAGTTGATGGGAATGGACCATAATCAGATCCAGGAAGGACCATGGCGGATGAGAATGGCCCATAATCACATGTGGGAAGGACCACAGTTGATGGAATGGACCATAATCAGATATGGGAAGGACCATGGTGGACAGGAAAGCACTATAATCAGATACGGGAAGGACCATGGTGGATGGGAAAAGACCATAATCAGATATGGGAAGGACCAGTGGGATGGGAAAGGATTTGTGTGGGTTGACATGGACAAGAATTTTGGAAGAAGCACAGTGATGGAATGGGCTAGATCTCTGAGGGTTAATATACACCTGAATTTTGGAAGGAGTGCGGTGATGGAAACAACCAGTTGACATGGACAAGAATTTGGAAGAAGCACGGTGGCGGAATAGGCTGGATCTCTGAGGGTTGATATACACCTGAATTTTGGAAGGAGTACAGTGATGGAAATAATCAGTTGACATGGACAAGAATTTTGGAAGAAGCACGGTGGCGGAATAGGCTGGATCTCTGAGGGTTGATATACACCTGAATTTTGGAAGATGCACAGTCTGTCAGTTGATACAGAGTAGAATTTTGGACGGAGCATGTAGTAATTGACCAAGTGAACATACTTATCTATATATCACATATCAAGTGTGATGGATAAGACTCAGGGGCATTCAAATAATTATAGTTGATTCAGGTTGAAGACCCAACTCAAAAATCAGAGTCAGGATCAAGGTATGAACCACTAAGTCTGACTCCCACTAATAACACTATGTAAGGGCATCAAAGCTTTGATTAATATAATCAACTGGCCTCCACTAACATGGGAGTAGGGGATGTTATATGCAGCGGCGTGGCAGTATGTTGACTACGTAAGCTAACTAACACTATGTAAGAGCATCAAAGCTTTGATTAATAATCAACTGGCCCTCCACTAACATGGGAGTAGGGAATGTTATATGCAGCACCGTTTTTTAAGTGACAATTTGGTAGGTGATGAAGGCATAAAACTATCCTCAATATCATCAACAAAATCCTCATCCTGATCCCTGTACTCATCAGCTAATGCAACCTCTTCAATTGCATCCATTAGTTCATCATCTCCAACCTCACAATATGCCGGATCACCCTTCCTTGTCACTTTCTTCCTCTACTCCAACACTCTCATCATCATCGTCGTCCTGGAAAATGATGAGTGCACCTGGTCTTGAGCAGCTCGAAGTAAGTCTTCATTTTGAGGACCCCAACTCTTGACTGGCCACACACAAGGGATCTCTCGAACTTTCTTCTTTCCAGACAACACAAATGTGAAGAAGTTCGTCTGCGCGGGCCCTGGATGTGGAATGACATTACAAGATCATCAGCTGCCAAACAAATTAAGTGTGATTCACATTCACTGTCTACTGAGACTAGACACACCCGCATCCCTCAAACACAGTTTTTATGGCCTCCCACTCTGTGAACATCCACTCCTGCATCACAGACCACTCTTGCATCAAACGAGTTTCTTCCTCAACGCACCAATCCACTTCAAGTTGTAAATGAATACCAGACCTAGTGGCCTCATCCAATAACCATGCCGGTGCATGCATACCATCGTCGTCAAGGCCAATATCCTGCCAGATCTTGTCATCAACATTGAGTAGAAAGATGCCCTCATGAGCAATAGGGTGAGGTGGAATAGCAGAGGGGGGAGCTCTTCCTGATGTATGAGAGACTGTAGCTGAGTACATAGGCCATTTGTAAGTCGAAACCAGTTTGAGATCCCGGGTTCTCGGTGTTTGATTGAATACTGGGTGTTCACGTGAAGCTTATGTTCCACTGAAAACACATGAGACGTGCTGAGAGGAAGGCCAAATAGCATTAATGTACCATTAACTGTTGCTCAATATGATCTCTCTAGCCTCTCCAATTCAAATTTGCGTTGACGGAGACAGTCCCGAATACGAGTTTTTACTGCGTGAAGCATTCAAGCGGACTGTAAGATAGATGTCGTTCTTCATCGTCTTAAGATTGGCCTTTCCTTGCGTTCCAAGAGCAGCTGTAATGACGTCAAAGGGTATCTTGCAATTTTGGCATGTCATGACCGAGCATCGGCGAGCTGCAGATTGAACTCCACAACATTAGCAACAGAGGCCTACATAAAGCTGCATCTTAGCTCACGGACAGAAGTCTCGTGAGCATCCAGGGTCTTCTCCAATGCAAGGATAGTTGTGATGACCTCCGCCGCCTTGTTCTGGGATTGCCCTATACAATATAATCAGTGAGGCAGCGAGAACACTAGTAGAACTCTTACATGGGGTGGTGTTAAGACTGTACTCAAGAGGTATCGGATCCGAAGGGCTTTGGCCTCAGCTCGTGCACTGTGCCCCTTTCCCGAGTCTTACCCCTTATTTCAGAGTACTAGAGTATTGTGTCTAGTGAGACTGGATAAGTATCATAACAGATCCATTAAGGCTTCTGGATATCGGACATGTAGAGTAACGGCTAATCCAGATCAGATCTGAACTAGAAACTAACAGGTGAGGACTGTCTGAAGACAGAGGCGGATATATAGACTATAGGAATCAATCCTAAGTCTCGGAGTAGACAAGAGTATTGTACTCAAGTCCGGACGGATAACAGAAAGGACTTAGAGTCCCAGACGGAATGAGTGCAATCTAAGAAGATATTCGAACTGATCTACTACAGTGCTGTACAAGGGTTATATACTACGGATAACTAATGGAATGATCAAGAAGCAAAGGCACGAGGCTATGTATGAAGTATAAGCAAAATATGTGCACGTGTATTGGTAAGTCGGATGGATCACGAATCATGAACCAGGAATGAAGTATAAGTTAAAGTGGATCAGTAAGTGTAGCGGATCAGTAAGCATAGCAGAAGTAAAGGATAACTGGTATACCGGTGTACAGGAATACCGAAAGGATGAACGCTAGTTAGAGTTATATGAACGGACATGAAATAAGAATCAGATTGGATCTGTGGACTGGACGACAGATATGTCCATTGGATCTGAGATCTGGATCTTTGGATCTGTACCCAGATATATTGTCATATCCCGTATTCCGGACCTTCGTCCGATGATGTTCCCATGCCTTCCGGACGCCTTCCGGATGCACATCCGGACCTCCATACCCTTATCCATGACTCCATACCCTATCCATGCTCCATCCCTTATCCAGTCCTCCTTATCCGCTTCAGTCCTCCAGTCCACTATGGTTTGATCCGTACACCTTCGTACATCCATATATCAATACCTTCGGACCTCCGCAGCTAAGCCTGCTTCATCCACCCTTGGTCCTATCGGATCCGAGCTCATTCCATCTCGGACTCTACCTTCCCTAGACTAAAGCGGTCCTATATCCATGATCCATATCCTAGTCTTGTATTCACTAGATCTCACGGATCCACTCATTCCGATTAATCCAGACGCTTCAAATCCGATATCTCTAGACCTCCGAGATCCGACCTATACTCATATCCGAGGCCCAAACCTTAATCAGCTGCGCTATCTCCTTATGGTAATCCCCTTGACTCCGGACTTCGGTTATCTCTGTTTCCGTCTTGCTTATTGATCCTTGTACTCTGTTCATATCTGAGTTCATTTACTTATGTTCCGTTCATACTTACTAATATGTTTCCACATGCTCGTACATAGCATTTGTGTTCAGCTTACTGATCCTCTCGGATCGCGTCCAGTATATAAACCTCTGTACAACTCCTGTAAAGTTTCCTTAGTTCGAATATCGCCTTAGACTTGCTCTGTCTCAACATAGACTTGCTCTCTCGCACATTAGACTTCACTCATTCTTGTCTCGGACTTTGGTCCATCTGAGTTCTCTGCCTTTCCATTAAGGCCTAGGGATGGATTCCCTAGGCCGGAAATCCAGGACCCTTCGATTTGTCCCCTATGTCTCTGTTCTGAAGTCTAGGGATTGATTCCCTAGACCGAAGTTTTGCCTTTCCGGCACTTCCTGTCTTTCCGAGACTTCTGTCTAAACCCCGTCTATCCGACTCTACCATAGTGTAGTCTACCTCTGTTTGGTTTCTACTCTGGACCTTGTCATAGTAGCCTTTCCCCTCCTGTCCTAATCCTGTCCGCTCCTCCGGTCCTCGTAACCTTCGGACCTTCGGACATCGTAAACCTTCGGACGTCGTAACCTTTGGACGACGCAAACCTTTGGACGACGCAACCTTTGGACGACGCAACCTTGGACGATGCAACCTTTGGACGACGCACCCTTTGGACTGTCTTAACCTTCGGACCTCCGGACGTCCTGTCCTTCAGACCACTCCTCCTATCCTATCCTGCTTTGGACTCTGTCCCTTGCAGCCTATCCTCTATGTGTTTCTATCTAGGGAACTTACCTTGGGAAGTCTTACCTTCGGATCTGATACAGCGGATGAAACTCCTCTGGAGTTTCCTATACTCCCTCCGAGTTTCTTCGCACTCATCCGGAAGTCCTCTAGCACGCTACTAGAGTAGCCAGCCTCGGAAGTCCTTCGGACTTTGTTGGATTCCATCTGGACTTCATTCTGAAATTAAGGGCATTACTCGGGTAAGGGCACAGCGCACGAGCTGAGGCCAAGCCCTTCGGATCTGTCTACCCTGAGCTACGGTCTTAACATATATGGTATATGACAGGTGTTGTGTCTGGGTGAGCAATTTGCGCCTTCCATTCAGCACAAGGATATCCTCGTCAATGTCTAAGTCCAGTAAACTGTCCAGAGCTGCGTTCTTCTTTGTCTGGCAATGTAGCCATCGCCGATGGAGCCAATGCCCGTAGCCTTGGATGGATTTTGTGTCCAGGTGGTTGAATTTGAACATCGAGGATGAAAAAGATGTTGATGGAACTACAGTAGAGTTAGAGATGCGATATAATACATGAATGTAGACTTACCCCAGAAAGCGCAACAATGGGATGAGTTGCTTAAGAGAACTCCACAATCATTCCGCATCCCTCGCCATCAGACATCCAAAACCCTCACAGCTTCCTCGGTTGGTAGAGCTGGACCTGACAGGCCATTGATGACCATACGCATGGAATACCGCAACGCGAAGGATTGCGCAATAGAGTGTTGTTATCGAAGAGTTTCCATTTTCGGCAGCTTCATTCGAGTTGACATCTGATGTCATAGAGAAGTCCTATGGTCATCTGAGGGGGTAGATGCTTGAACAACTGTCCAGGAGAGCGAGTGCGTAGTGTTGCTTCTCTCCCGCTGATGTGAGGTTGGCAAGCCAGAGCACACGGTCATGTCTACAATAGCAGGGCCATCAGGCCTGTGTCGGTAAAAAAACGAGTAGTGGCCTTTTTTCACACTTTGTCTGCAGCGACAAAGGATTCTCCGCATCCATTTCTCAACACAGGGACACTGGCACACGCATCCCTTCTTCATAGCAATCCTCGTCCCCTTCCACTCTAAAGGCCCGCTTTGACGTCTTTCTCTTCCGACAACTTTTGCACAAAATCCTCCATCACTTTGACATCGTCCTTCGACAGAAAGAAGGTCGGAGTTGGATTAGGAAGGGTTGATACTGCTAGCAACTCACAAGGAGTAGTTGAACACTTTTGAGTAAAGCAAGCATCTATGCAAACAATAACTGTCTGGGCTGGTATTGATCAATTAAATGTGGTAGAATACGACCTGAGACACAGACTTACATGGAACGAGCATCTGCTCCATGGCAAACATTTCCTCCAAAACAAAGCAGGCAACAAGAACGAAGGTATCCATTTGGCTGATCGATGATGTGGGAGACGCGCCTGGCCCTTCCGAACGTCGGCGATGAGAGCAGAAATGTGATGAGCCAAGATGCTCAGCACTCGTACCAGTGAAAAGCATTGCCAAAACGACGATGCAAGTTATTCTGATGAAAGACTAAGCATCCTTGTACGCAAGAAGATTTGAAAGGCTAACCTTGCATGACAACTTGTACCCCATTCCATCTAGAAAGGTTTCCACCGCATCACACCACACGGTTTGGTTGGGAGACTGGCGTACAAAGAGAAGACGGATGAACTCTAAAATGCGCAAGTCCACTGCGAGTGAGGGAGTGATAGGAGCACATGGAAACAGACCACGACAAAGGAGTTGGAGGGGGGCAGGGAACAAGGGCATGTGATGATGTTAATTTCTTTCAATGCTGGAGGGTACATGAGATAGATTGTGGAGAAGAGTGATAAATAACATACCGTTGAAGTGCACACATGCAACTGCAATACTCCGAGTCCTACATCCAGCTTGGCAAACTCCAAGATGTTGCTGAGTTTGTCCTGGCACGTTGGTATAACGTAGCGCCGAAGTTTGTTGGATATAGGATAGATATGGTACAAGGAGTGACAGAATGACATCTTGTGACCATCTACGCCACTTGTTGGCCCTTTTCTATGAGCTGGTGAGACGAAGGCGGATAGGATCATTGTAAAAATGTAGGGAGTCACTGAAGAGAACCTCGTCGGTGGTATGTTCTTGTGTTGCCATTGCCCTGGACACAGACAACGGATGGCAGACATTTTGCTGCATGAGGTGTTGGCGTCCGGGCAAGACCACACAGGAGGCAGGGTAGGGAGATATAGGTCGAGCTTTCTAGTCTGACAAGGACGTTGCCATGCCGTGTTCATCCAAGACTCACAGACAATAGTGACTGGCTGCGGAATTGAAGGGCATTCTTCCTGTGTGAGGGATATCACCTTGGAGGTTGATGGTTCATGATGGCAGGGCTTTGGACGATGAACAGCTATAATGAATGCCGTGGACTCGAAGTCACATGGAAGGCCACCAACGACACAAAGTCAGTTGGAGGAACTGTCCACGGGCGCGCAGTCTGGGATAGTGCAAAGGAGAACAAATCTGAGGGGATTAGTACTGGGGATTTGACTGACTGGCAGACTCTACTCTAGGAGTTATGAGGTGACGATAACGTCAAATTAATGGAAGAGAAAACTTACTGAATAACATAACTGCATAGCGGATGCTTTCGCATCTCCTGCCATAAGTATCGTAATGTAGGTGTTAGTGGAAATGTGAGTAGAGAAAC